TTTTTCAAGAGTTTTCTAGGTTTTCTTTTTTTTACTCACCGGGCGGCCTAGAAAAACCTCGTCCCTAAGGGCTTTCAGCGTATTTTTCGATGCGTTTTTCTCGATGAAGGAATTTTTTTTGATTTTTTTCTTTATTTTTATGTCAATCTACATGCATTTCTGCACATTTTCATGCAATAAAAAATTTCACCGTACACCACCTTTAAAACCAACTGTTCAGAAGAAGCTGAACGTGAATACATTTGCTCATCGGGAAACCAAGAGATTGCTGACAACTACTTTTGATGTTCGTTTCAAAACCAAACATTCGACTGCTACTGTTCAATTGTGTAGTGTGGACAACATTGCATGCAACATTTTAACTGCGGATGTGGAAAGTGATGTGTTGAAACGACTGCTGCAAGACCAGGATCAATATCTTCAGGTGGAACGGACAAGAAAGAAAGTTGATATTCTCATTGGATTGGATTCGTATTTGGAAATTTTGGGACAAGTGAACACTCTTCGATTGGCAAACGGGTTACAATTGCATATCAGACCAATTGTTGCTGGAAAAGAGAATGTGGTGGATTTTGCTCTTACATTTTCTACACTATAACCCGAGGGCTTTTATGGGCGATCAACGGGAGATCGTAAAATATCATGTATATACCGTAAAACCTCTAATAGAACGACACCCGGATCGTCCAGTTTGAGCCTATATATCTCATTTTCTGTGAAAGATATCAAAAAGTGGCTAACTAGTAAAATGTTGTTGATATCCTGATAAACATTTTACTAGTTAACCACTTTTTGATATCTTTCAAAAGAAGTGAGATATATCAACTCAAAGTGGACGGTCCGGGTGGCGTTCTATTAGAGGTTTTACGGTAAACACCATTTTAGCTGTATTGTATATCATTCATTTTTATCTTATTTTTCTTTAGTTTCTTATGAATAAAGGTTTAATTACCCAAGTTTGAGGCTCGACGAGAAGTGATCGAATTTGAGAGACAAAAATTGTTTTTTGGACTTTTCCGGGTTTTTTCGGGTCCCAACTCACGGTTTAACATTGAAAAATACATAGAAAAAATGTAAAATGCAATTTCACACATTTTGAGCTTAACATCAAGATTCTAGCTTCAAAATGTAGCGAGTTATGGGATTTTGAAAATTCTGGAAAATCCCAAAAACTCAAAATTCAAAAATCTACAGTAATCCCAGGACCAGGGACCCTCAAAACTCAAATTTTCGGGTTTACCACGTTGAGAGCTTCAAAATAAGCCTAAGGTCAGCTATTTTGGTGCATTTTGAATTTTTGGGTTTAAAGGCGCATGGACCCGGAAAATTAGAGAAAAAAACTTGAAAATTAAAAAGTAGGGTATGATTATACTCATTTGAGCCGGCTTTTTGAGCTGAATCGAAATATATAAAAAATTTGTGTCTCGAGTGGAAATTCGAAGAGTTACGGTAGAAAGTTTGAAATTTGAAGAACACAATGAGCTGGAAATGTTGTTTTTCGGGGAAATGGGTGATGATTATATTCATTCGAACTGGCTTTTTAAGCTGAGTTTGAAATTTTGAAAATTTTGGGTCTCGACGCGAAAATAAAAAAGTTACTGTAGATTTTTTGATAAAAAAGCTAAAAATGTAGGAAATTGGAATTTTCAACCTGGAAAACTTGATTTTTCTGAAATTACAAATTGAAACAGTCATTAAAACGCTAAAAATACAAAAAATAATAAAAAATTTAGTGGAAAATAACTTTAAAAATAGGTTAAAACTCGAAATTTTCAATTTTTCAGCTATTTCTCGGTGTTATTCCAGCTAATTCCGAAAATTTAAAAATTTATTAGTGTATTTTTTATATTTCTATTTTTTCTCCTATTTTTTCCACTAAAAACCAGCTATTTCAGATGAAAATCGCTTTTTCAGTTTCTCTCCCAAATTCAAAAATTTTCCTTTCGCGCGCTTTTCTCCCCGTAAACCGACACTGGCCTAGGAGGCGCCACGCTGGCCGAACTCTCCCCAAAACTCTTCCATCTCAAAAAAATGTGCTCCGCGAGCCAAATTTCCCCGTTTTTGAGCAATTCTCCGGGGATTTTCCGTTACTAAGCGTTGCCAGGGTGATTTTCATCGAAATGAGCAATTGAAAAAGCTTTTTGGAGCACAAAATGAGCAAAAATTAGCGAAGCTGAGGCTTTTCTCGATTTTGATATTTCAAAAATTCGTTTTCGCTCATTTCCCACCTTTTTTGATGATTTTTGGGGTTTTCCGGCATGAAAAATTGATTAAAAACCATTAGAAACCTTAAAAATCAACGTTTCAGGTAGAAAAACCATCAAAAAACGGAAAAAATCGACACCTACCGAAATTCAACCGGAATGGGCAATTTTTCGGTGAAAATGGGTAATTTTGGGCTGAAAATTTCCAGCTTCTAACGCTAAAATAGGCATAATTTCAGGTCCAGGCCTTGTTTCGGCGATTATGCCCATTTCCTATGTGGTTCTGGTGAATTGCTTCGATTACGGTGGAAATGATCGAAACGACCCGAAATCGATCAGAAAAAGGTTAAAATGAGGGAAAATTTTGCTGAAAATCGTAAAAATCACAAAATTTCAGTCTAGAAAATCTAGAAATTCGATTTTTCAAAAATTGAAAATTTTCGAAAAAAAAATTTGTTTTTTAAAAAATTGTTTTTCGATCTTTTCACCTTTCTATATCATTTTTTTGCAATTTTCGTGCTGAAAATCGTCAAAATCGTGAATTTCCAGTCTAGAAAGTCTTTTAAAAGTCTGAAAATTCGATTTTCAAAATTTTTATTCAACTTTTCAGACCGATTTTTCGCGATTTTCAAGAATTTCAGCATGAAAATAGCGGAAAGTTGTGCTGAAAATCGTGAAAATCACGAAATTTCAGTCTAGAAAGTTGGAAAATCGAAATTTTGGGAAAAAAAATTTTTGACAATTTTTTCAAAATTCAATTTTTCAGACTTTTTCAGCTTTCTGGACTTAAAATTCATAATTTTAACGATTTTCAGCATAAAAATCACGAATTTTCAGTCTAGAAAGTTGGGAAATTTGAGTTTTAAAAATTTTGAAAAAAATTTTTTTTTTTCAAACTTTTTTTCAAAAATTTTTTTTTCGAAATTTTCACTTTTCCAGACCAACTTCTCGCGATTTTCAGCATTTTCAGCACGATTTTCAGCGTTTTTCACCCCCGAAATCCCTTATTTTCAGATGGAAAGGCGCGCTGGTCAGCAACATCATCTCCATCGTCGCCACCGCCTACTTCCTTCAAGATGTATGTTTTTAGCCCTAAAAACAGTGATTTTAGGGCTTAACAAAGACTGAAAAAGCGAATTTCAAGCCCGGAAATCGTGTTTTTCAGCGATTTTAACCCTAAAAATGGGATTTCTTGCAGTACACCCCATCGCCATTTCGGGAAATGGGATTTCGTTGGGATGAGATGGCAAAAGCGATCAGTTTTCCGTTTATTCTCATGAATGGATTCTATTTAGGACAATTCGTGATGATGTACATCGATAGGACACTTTGGCACTATTTTGGTAATTTTTCGAAAAATTTGAAATTTCAAAAAAAAAATTTTGCAAAATTTTTTTTTCGAATTTTTCCCCTTTTCAGACTGATTTTTCGCGTTTTTTGTGCTGAAAATCGTGAAAATCACGAGTTTTAAGTCTAGAAAGTTGAAAAAGTCTGAAAAATTGAAATTTGAAAAAATTGTCAAAAAATTTTTTTTTCAAAATTTCGATTTTCCAACTTTCTAGACTGAAATTTTGTGATTTTCACGTTTTTCAGCACAAATTCTCACTATTTTCATGTTGTAATTCGTGAAAATCGCGAAAAATCGGTCTGAAAAGTTGAAAAAAAATTTTTTTCGATAATTTTTAAAAATTTTGAAAATCGAATTTTCAGAATTTTTAAAGACTTTCTAGGCTGGAAATTCACGATGTTGACGATTTTCAGCACGAAAATTGCAAAAAAAAATGATATAGAAAGGTGAAAAGATCGAAAATTTTCAATTTTTGAAAGATCGAATTTCTAGATTTTCTTTTTTTTTTCGAATTTTTCCCCTTTTCAGACTGATTTTTTGCGTTTTTTTTGCTGAAAATCGTGAAAATCACAAGTTTTCAGTCTAGAAAGTTGAAAACGGCTGAAAATTTAATTCATTAATTTTTTTAAAATTAAAATTCCGAAAAAAAATTTTTGGAATTTTTTAAAAAAGTTTTTTTTTTTCAAAATTTCCCATTTCCAGATCAATGTTATGCATTTTTTATGCTGAAAATCGTGAAAATCACGAGTTTTCAGTCTAGAAAGTTGCAAAAGGCTGGATATTCAATTTCGAAAAATTTTTTTAAAAACTTTTTTGGAGTTTTTTTTTAATTTCTGAAATTTTTCGTTTTCCAAACTGAATTTTAGCGATTTTCATGTTGAAAATCATGAAAATCATAAATTTTCTGTCTAGAAATTAGGAAAAATGCTGAAAATTCGATTTTTGAAAATTTTCGAAAAAAATAAATTTTTCCAAAAAAAAATTTCTAGGCCGATTTTCAGCGATTTTTATGAAAAAGCGTTCTGAAAATCATGAAAATCTTGAATTTTTGATCTAGAAAGTTGAAAAAAATGCTGAAAATTTAATTAATTTTTTTTTTGAAAAAATTAAAATTCCGTAAATTTTTTAAAAATTCCGAAAAAAAATTAAATTAAAAAAAAAAATTTTTGTCGGAATTCTCTATTTCCAGACCAATTTTTTGCGATTTTCATGCTGAAAATCGTGAAAACCTCGAATTTTCAGTCTAGAACGTTGAAAAAATGCTGGAAATTTGAAAATTTTTGAAAAAAAAAATTTTTCCAAAAAAATTTTCTAGGCCGATTTTCAGCGATTTTCATCAAAAATTATGCTGAAAATCGTGAAAATCATGAATTTTCAGTCTAGAATGTTGAAAAAATGCTGAAAATGTCATTTTCAGACTACTACGAATGGAAAATGTGCTTCCGGAGTTGGGCGTGGCGACGGGACATCATTGTGGTAATTTCTTGAACGAATTCCAGCTGAAAATCTATGGAAAATGAGTGAAAACAGGCGAATTTCTGAAAATTCAAATTTTCTACCGTAATCCTTTGAATTTCCACTCGAGACCTGAAATTCCTACATTTTCAGATTCAGCTCAACGAGCCGGTTCAAATAAGTATAATCATGCCCTACTTTTAAATTTTCAAGTTTTTTCTCTAATTTTCCGGGTCCATGCGCCTTTAAACCCAAAAATTCAAAATGCACCAAAATAGCTGATCTTAGGCTCATTTTAAAGCTCTCAACGTGGTAAACACGAAAATTTGAGTTTTGAGGGTCCCTGGTCCTGGGATTACTGTAGATTTTTGAATTTTGAGTTTTTGGGATTTTCCAGAATTTTCAAAATCCCATAACTCGCTACATTTTGAAGCTAGAATCTTGATGTTAAGCTCAAAATGTGTGAAATTGCATTTTACATTTTTTCTATGTATTTTTCAATGTTAAACCGTGAGTTGGGACCCGAAAAAACCCGGAAAAGTCCAAAAAACAATTTTTGTCCCTAAACATCCTTTTTCCCCAGTTTTGTGTGATTTTTCTTTTCCAAAAATCATGAAACAATAATTTCCTCTTATCATACAAAAACCCGGACTTTGAAATTTTAAGGGCTGTTTTGGGATTCGGAGGATTTTTTGAAAAATTTCAAAATTTTAAAATTTCATAACTGCCTTCGTTTTTAGGCTAGACCCCAGATGATTTTGAGCTTAAAATGTGGGGAAATCGAATTTCTAATGCTCTAAACTCAATTTTTAGCCAATTTCAGCCAATTTTCAGTCTAAAAATCGATATTTCCAGGGTCCAATCACCGAAGAACTCGTTTTCCGCGCCTGTTCGACGACACTGATGTATCATGTGTACGGTTACAAATTCACGTTGTTCTGGAATCCCGTCCCATTTGCCGCCAGCCATTTTCATCATATTTGGGATGATCAGAGGAAGGGCTACTCGTTGGCACACTCAATTCTGCAGAGGGGTACGGGGTTTTTTATTGGAAAATGGACAAAATATATATATAAGCTAAAAGTGGCTTAAAACGACTCAAATTTGATCTAGAACTGTCGGAAATCGCCTAATGTTGAGCCTCAAAAAGACTAGGGAATGACTGAAATCAGCTATAAATCAACTGCAAAATCTCTCAAAATCGGTCTAAAACGGCCGAAAATTCGCCTAGATTTGAGCCTGAAAAATTCTGGAATTTATCTTTAAAAATGGACCAAAAATAACTGAAATCTTGGTTTGCAAAAAACCAAAATTTCGAAAAAAGAAAAATTCGTGAAAAAGTGAATGAAAAATGAGCCAGAATTCGTTTTCTAACGATTTCTAAGCCATTTTTCATGATTTTTCGGTCCATTTTGGTCCATTTTAAGCCACTTTTTAGGCTATACATGAGCAATCTGGGAGGAAAATGACTGAAAATGGCTGAAAAATGAATAAAAAATGAGCCAAATCTTGTTTTTTTAATCGATTTCTAAGCCATTTTTCATGTATTTTGAGCCATTTTGGTCCATTTTAAGCCATTTTTTCAGGTTAAGGATGAGCAATCTGGGAGGGAATTGGCTGAAAATTTATGAAAAATGGATGAAAATGAGCCAAAATTTTTTGGTCCATTTTTCATGATTTTTGGTCCATTTTTCATAATTTTTGATCTATTTTAATGATTTTCGGTCCATTTTTCATAATTTTTGGTCCAAAGACCAGAAAAATAGGCCCTATGAAACCTAGAAATGGGCTCAGACAGTCCCCCAAAAATAAAAGATCAAACAAAACAGACTCAAAATAGTTTGAATTCAGCCTAAATGAAGCCTAAACTAGCCTAAAACTCCTCAATTTAATTTAGTTTGGCTTAAAAATGGCCCGGATTGGCCTACAATTGGCCTAGAACAGCTTGAAAAAGTCTAGAAATCATCGTCTTGAATCTAAAAAGGCCTGGGAAGCCTACGGCTCAGTAAGAAAAGACTAGAAATTTTTTTTCGAAAATTCAACTTTTTTCCCCAAAAATTGGCCTATAACTCAAAATCTTGGTCCCTAGCAACTTTTTGACTTGTAAATTCGTTTTTCTCGCGTTTCCGGCTTTAAAATGAGCCTAAACACGACTAGGCTCCACCCACTTTGATTTTTAAGACGCGTCGCGGTCGTGCGTCGCGTGTCTAGATGAAATTTCAAAATGGGCGGAGCCTAGCCGTGTTTGAGCTCATTTTAAAGCTTTTGTTAAGTTGAGTTCAAAAATACATGTTTCATGGGGAAATAATGAAAAATGACAAAAATATGGTATTTTAAAAAAAATCCAAAACAACGTTTTTTTTGAAAATTTGACTATAACTTGAAATTTCGATTTTTAGCGTATTTCACATTATAGTTAACACCTTTTTCGTTATCATTTTTCGAAAAAAAAGTCTAGAAATCATCGCGTCTTGAATCTAAAAAGGCCTGGGAAGCCTACGGCTCAGCAAGACTAGAAAAAAGTCCGATTTTAGCCTGAAGTAAGCCTAAACTAGTCTTCCCAATTTAATTTAGTTCGGCCTGCAAATGGCCTAAATTCGTTCAAAATTGACCTCCGATCGGTCCGCGAAACAGCCTGAAATTCGGCCTAAAACAGTCCGAAATAGTCCTGAAATCAAAAAAAAAAAGCCTGAAATTGGTCTATATTGACCTTTAATAGACCTAAAATAGTCGAAAATCACCGAAAATGGCCTTAAATCGGCCTAAATCAGCCTGAAAAAGCCCAATTCTGCAGGCTTCCAATTCGTGTACACCTACATCTTCGGCTGTTTTGCCACCTATCTCCAATTGCAGACGAAACACGCGATGGTGCCGATCATTGCTCATACGATCTGTAATGCACAGGGACTGCCAATGTGGCTCGAAATTGGTGAGAAATTCCTTGAAAATTTGGGCTAAAATGGTCAAAAATGGAAAAAAAATGGTCTGAAAATCAAGAAAAATGGACCAAAAATCATTAAAAATGGACGAAAAATCATGAAAAATGGACCAAAAATTATGAAAAATGGACCAAAAATTATGAAAAATGGACCAAAAATTATGAAAAATGGACCAAAAATTATGAAAAACGGACCAAAAATTATGAAAAATTGACCAAAAATTATGAAAAATGGCTTAGAAATCATGAAAAATGGACGAAAAATCATGAAAAATGGACCAAAAATCATGAAAAATGGACCAAAAATCGTGAAAAATGGTCCAAAAATCATGAAAAATGGACCAAAAATTATGAAAAATGGACCAAAAATTATGAAAAATGGCTTAGAAATCGTTAAAAAACGAATTTTGGCTCATTTTTATTCATTTTTCACGAATTTCCAGCCGATTTTCAGTCGTTTTCAGCCAATTGCTCATGCTTAACCCATTTTCAGCCAACTACCCCAAAAGACGTGACCGTATCGCACTGTACACCGCCTATATAGCTGGATTCGCCGGTTTCGGATACCTACTGTACACTCAAAACGGAATGCCATCGCCCTAATTAACTAATCAGTTAATTACCCTCTTAATTACCCACTTAATTATGTTCGAAAAATCGCGTTTCCATGTCATTTTTCCCCAATTTTTCTGTGTTTCCGAGTGTCCGGATGTCCCCCTCATGATCTTTTTTTTTCGACTTTTCATTCCTCCGATTTTCGGATTTTCCTCTGAAAATGCTGCTGAAAATGCTCTTTATCATCGTAGATTTTGCTTTGAAAATAACAATTTGAGTCTTCCTCAAATGTTGTCTAGAATTTCTCTAAAAAAATCTTTTTACTTTGGAAATATGAATCTAATGATGTTAGCTTTGCGGAGGGTCTGGAAAATGTGGCTTTAGTGAAGTGGGCTCCACAAACAGCACTTCTAAGTGGGGATTATAAATTTGTAAAATTCCAAGAAATGTGAAATTACAGATGACAAACGATTAAGCGCATTTTTTAGTCATGGAGGTTTGGGAAGTACGATTGAAACGGTCTTTTTAGGAAAACCAACTATTATGGTAATCTAAAACGAGACAGGAATTTGAAACTGATATCCGAATACACATTTTGGTCCTTAAACTTATTTTTTCGGTTTCAGTATTCTTTGATCAATCTCGCAATGCAAACATGTTGAGTCGTCTTGGAGCTTCAATAACTCTTCAAAAACCGATTTGAGAAATTTCGATAAATTGAAAACGGCTTTCACCAAATTTTGCACAATGACAGTTTTCGAAAAAAATGCTGAGCATGTGGCAGATGTAATACGAAACCAGCCAATCAAGCCAAAAGAGTTGGTAGTCAATTATACTGACTAGGGAAGGTTGTTTGTGGGGTATGGGACTTCTTTATGAGAGCTATATCATTCGAAAGCTGAAAATGAGACATTTTCAAAAATGTAATTCGATTTTGCTGCGGACTTACCATATTCGAGAAAATCGAGTTTGAAATCTCATTTTTGAAAAAGCAAAGGGGGGACCCCATTTTTTTTTTTTGAAAAAACATGAAAAACTTACAGGATCATACTGTGTTCTCTGAAACTGTTTGAAATTGTGGTTACATGCTTTTGAAAACTATTTTTGAGTCATTTTTTCAAACCACTTTTTGACTTTTGAGAATAGAAAGTTAATGGTTTACAGAAGATTTTGGATGTTTTTTTTATTGTGATCGCAAATTAAGAAGTTTCTGTACGATGTGACCAAGTTTAAGCGTTTTTTTTCCAGAAAAAAAAATGAAAAAAAGTTCCATGGGGTACCCCCTTGAATTTTTTTTTGAAAATTTTTGAAAATTTTTTTTTCGGCTGAAAAGGTATTAAACGAAAAAGAACAAGTAAATTAGGTTTTTTACAAAATTTGATAACCTATTTTCTTCTCGGGATCAAGACATTTTGATTCTTTTTCTGATTTTCAACAAACCGTAGTACTACGATGATCGCCCAGTAACACTCAAAATTTGAGAAATCATAGACACAAATCATGTCTGATTGATGTGTGGCTCTTAAAACGAATCATCCTTATGAACTTTGACAAACAAAAGCTGTGTGAAAGTGTTTAGTGTTGATTAACGAAATAGTCAAAAACTAGAACATTTAAGAAAGTACAATTTCTCAGTATCAAAATGAAATTTTTTTTTGAAAAATGTGTTCGGAACATTTTGAAGATTTCCACAAAGACCGAAAACAAAAACAAAAACAAACAAAGGAGAGAGGAATCGAACCCAACCCTAGTCAGTTACCGTCCTCCCTCTTCACCGCTACACCACCAGTCGCTGCTTTCAGCTAGTTCCACAATGCATATAAGAAAGGGGGAGATCTGGCCCTCAAAATATTCGAATTTCAGCCAAATTTCAAATTCGATTTTCTCGGATCTGGAATGTCCGCAGCAAAATCTGAATATATATTTGAAAATGTCTCATTCTCAGCTTTCGAATGATATAGGCCTTATATCAAAGTCCCATACCCCAGTTACAACCTTCCCTAGTGAGTTTGTTGGAAAGTGAGTTTCAAACTTTTGAATTAAAAAAAAAACAAATTCAAACGAATCAATTTTCAGCTACGGACCATTTCATCATATGACTCCATACTGCTTAAAAATGCCCTGGTTTCAACGATATGGATATGATGTGTTGCTTTTCAAAATTGGATCATTTCTAGCTCCAGTAGTATTATTGGCGGCTATTTTCAAATTTTTCTTACAATTAGAAAGATTTTCTGTTTCAGTTGTCAAAAAGAATAAATAATGAAATAAATTGAACTTTTATTAATAAAATATGTGAACAAAAACTACCAATATAAAATTGGTCTCATCAAATATAATTTCTTTTTCTTCTTCTTACACTAATTTCCACATTCAAAGATCAACATTTACCTACAAACTAACAAAGTATTCCCTCAATGTGAATTCGAATTTTGTGTTTTCTGTCAATTGATAGAAATCATTTTGATCCTTTGATCTTTCTCTACTAGCAAGTACGTTTGTATAAAAGGGATTGAGAATTCCTGTAAATGTCTAGCAAAATGACTCCTAACAATATTTTTTCACTTCTTGTACTTGTCGCTTTCACGGACTCTTTAAAAATTCTAGTATATTCTCCAGCATTTGCTGGTAGCCACACGAATTTTATGGCTAGAATTGCGGACACTTTAACTGAATCTGGGCATAATGTCACATTTTTTGTACCGATTTTCGATGATAATAGGAGTAACCAATTGGGAGTGAAGCTTACGAAAAATGTAATTAAGATGGAGGTAATCATTCAATGGGACCAATTGAAACCAAAAATCAAACTTTCAGCGAAGCGAAGAGATGAAACTAGACCCTGTCACAATGGACAATGTGACTTCATCCTTCTGGAATATCAATGTTAATTCCAAAGAGGGTCATTCTCTTTTTGATCCAGTTCACAAGCTAACTGTGCAAAGTTGTCGAAGCTTGTTTAGCAATTCTGAACTTCTGGCGACTCTGAGATCTCATGAATACGATGTTGGGATATCCGAACCAATGATGACATGCAGTTTGGCACTTTTTCGACATCTTGGAATTCAAAAAACGATTCTAGCCAGTTCCTGTCCAAATTTTGATGTTGTGATGGCAGCGATGGGTGAACCAGCTGAAACAAGTTATGTGCCTGGTAAGATCTTTACTATTAACAATCACCAAATTCACGAAAGAACAATCACGAAATATTCTTTTAGTATGGCTTTTAAAGATTTGAAAGGAAGAAAAAATTCTGAAACAGTGGAAAAGAAAGAAAAAAGTAAAAAAAAAGAAAAAAAACAGAATGGAAGGGAAAATAACAGCGCCCTTTCTGATCACTCGATTTTTCAGAATTCAGAATAATTTTTAAAATTTCCGAACTTAATTTCATGTCTTTCAAATTTCGGAATTTATAAATTTCTGAGATCTTATTCACCGAATATGCCAAAAAATTTCAAAGTTTCAGATTTTCCAACATTTCCGGTTTTCAATTTTCTGAATGTCAAAATTTTCGAAATTTAGAGTTTTCGAATTCTGAAATCTACATTTCCGATTTTCCGAAGTTCCAAAAACTTTCAACGAGACTGTGTTTCGAAAAGTTGAATTTCTGAATTTCTAATTTTTCAGGTTCTCAAATTCTCGATTCTAAAATTTTTCGAAATTCTATAAATTTTGCAAACAGGGCCGTTTCAGGCCAGCCCGACATTTAGTATGCAAAAATCTTAATTTTCCGATTCCTTAAAATCTGATATACCAAAATTTGGGTTTTTGAGACATACAGATTGAAACACTTTTCTAGATTTCAAAATTAATGTTTTCGTTTTTCCAAATTAATGTTTTCGTAATTAATGTTTTCGACTGTTTTCGACTCACCTATGATCCCTGTGAGTTAACTAGTTAGAAATATCTCAATCGGACCCAATTTTTTTATCTTAATTGTTTTGTTATTCCACTTTCTTCTTATGACACCACCATACCAATTTGACTGGGTAGATCCAAAATTATAGGTTTTTTTTTTGAAAATTCTGATGTCTGAAAATTTTTTTCCCAATTTTGTTGACAATTTTTCCCATTGTCTGGGAACAATGACAACCTGAAAGCGAGATAACCCAGAGTCTCCCGATTTTCCCCATAAAATCCCTCTGGATTATCCGCTTTATTCGGGCATGTTCATTCCCCTTCTTATCTCTCTTCGTTCTCTAATTACAAGTACATTGTTTCACTCAAATAATATTAATATTATTTGAATACGCGCCAACGACCGCGTTGCAGCGACCGCGCCGCGCCACTCGGCACTGGCGTCCGCCGCCCGTCGTTACTCAGTCTTCGCTGCGGCGAAGCGAGTGTTCGTATCTTACCAAGAGCTGACCGCTATGCGGTCCCGTTTAACCTTTTTTAGCCTTTCAGCTAGTTTTCTACGTTTGGCATCGTTTTGGTTTGTTAGCACCAGTTTTAGAAGGCAGCAAGGTTTCCTCCGGTAGCTCCCAGGAGGTTTTAGCCCTACACCTTTACTTCTTTTCTGTTCTTGCTTTCTTTTCCCAATTCCGTTGTCTTTGCCGTTTATTCAAATCCCTTTCCGTTAATAAACTTGGATTTGAATACTTTGTGTACTGTTATTTCCTTTGCACCGCTTATCTTACACATTTGGGGGGAATTGGGGGTCATTTCAGGTTGCTGACACTCTCTGGTTAGGACGTAGGATCGGTCTCGACTGACTGAGGATCCGCTGTCAACAAATTTTGATTATTTTCCTATTGAAAATGGAAAAAAGCAGTTACGAAGAGTCAATTGAAAATGTGCAAAATGTTTTGATGTAAGTTCAGAAAATTGAGAGAACTTTAAGAATTTTGGAACAATTAGAGTGCAAACTCTGGAATTCTTGAAATTACCATAGTTGTCGTTGTGGGAATTTCAACCAATGCCACCTGTGTTTCTCTTTCACAGCTCCCATGTNTTGTAACATGAAAATATAAGTTTCTTCAAAAAGAATTTCAGTGGACTTTCCTCGGACCTCAATGTTTATTTTGTTATTGTGGCAACGTTGAATTCAATATTACACCCGATATCTTATATTTTTATGTCTAGTCAGTATCGGGAGACATTGAAATCAGTTCTTGGAGGAAAACGAAAAAGTGTGATTTCTGTGCAACCCAGATTGAGCAGTTTTGTGTCTACTCCGGCAATGTGTGTACCATGATAATACTTGATCATATTATCCGTGAATAATGTTCTTTTTCCAATTTTTTCTTATATTTTTTGTTTTTCATGTAATTCAAAAAAATAAATAAATACTTTCTATTAAATTGGTATGTAATTTTTTGTCTAGTACGCCCACCGTCACACTTGGAAAAACATAAAATTTTCAGTGAGAAAAACAAATTACAGAATCTAAACTCAATTTTTTTCGGTAATTTTTAGTGAGTAACAAAACAATTGTTGTGCTCATTTTTCTTTTTCTCTATTTGGAAGTAAAAATATATGGATTCTGGAATTCATGGCTTTCAGAACTTTTTGAAGTTCAACATTCAGATCACAGACTTCTTCTTCTGATTTCACTCCAGCTGGGACTGTTTTTTTTAGCTTCTGGGTCAGACATCTTTAACTCAACTTGTGACGATTTTTTCTTTTCAATATGTTCGAACGAATGGGCATTGTACTCAGAAAAACCAACACTACTCTTTTTCTTTTCTGATACAAACAGTTTATGTTCAGACTCTTGGTGTACTGTCATTTTGCGAATATCTGAACGCGCAACTTCTAGTTGTTGAAACAGCATCCTGTTTCTCCTCTTCAACTCGTCACATTCCTTTTGTACCTGCTCGAACTTCACAGTTTGATACTTCTCTGTTTCTCTCGCCGCCTCTAACTCTATAGTGTTATACTTTGCTATACATTTATATCTACGCATTTTACATTCTGTTAGTCGCGCAGCATTCCATTTTTCGTCGAGTTCTTCAACTGAGCTGAAACCTTTGTCAAGCATCCACTCGCCAATGTTCCTTACAAACTTTTCATTTCGTTCTTTGAAGTTACTTTCTTCTAGCCATGCTTCACGAAGGCACTTCATCACCTCTGTGTGGCCTGCAATCTGCTTGAAAGTGTCGTTGTCTTTCTCGTTGATCAATCTGATTAAAGGCGATAGCAAATTATGAGCTCCGTTTCTTGACAGCTTTGTGAACTTTTGAATATTCTGAATAGTCTGTTGAACTGCATTGTGATTTTCAAAACTGTATTTTTGAATCATTTTCCTAAATTTTTGTTCCAGAGAAACATTTTCACTCATAGAATACGCTGAGAATCCTTCGACAAGAAGTCCTCACGTCGTCCATCATCATCGAGCACGAAATCCTTCGAAACGGACATTTTTACTATATGAACACGATGAAATTAGTTTCCAAACTGATACTGATACTGTTGTCAATTTTCCCCATTGTCTTGGGACACTGACAACTTGAAAACGCTATAACCCAGAGTCCCCCGATTTTCCCCATAAAATCCCTCTGGATTATCCGTTTTAATCGTGTCATATTCATTCCCCTTCTTATCACACTCCGTTCACCAATCACAATCAATTTTTTCGTTCACTAACTTAAATATAATTTGAATAAGCGCCAACACGTGCCGCGACACGCGTCGCGCCGACATGAGCGGCGCATTCAGCGCACGCTCACAGACGAATTGTTCGTATCAGGGAGACTGGTATCTCCCCTTTCTGGCCGCTATGCGGTCCCTTTCTACTTTTATTATAGTTTCAGACTATTCCTACGTTTGGCAGTGTTATGGTTTTGCTAGCAACAGTTTTTGAGGGCAGCAAGGTTTCCTCCGGTAGCTCCCAGGAGGTTTTAGTCCTACACCTTTATCTCTTTTCTGTATCGCTTTCTTTTACCCATTACTATTGTCTTTGCCGTTTATTCGATCCTCTTTCCTTCAATAAATTGGGATTCGAATAGCTTGTGTACTGTTATGCACTTGCACCGCTTATCTTACACATTGGGGGGTTTGGGGGTCTTTTACAGGTAAACAAGTCTCTCTGGTTAGGACGTTGGATCGGTCTCGGCTGACCTCGGATCCACTGTCAACAGATACTACGAACTAGAGAACTTGTGAAAATGAAGCTTTCCGACAATTAAAACACTTCTTCCGAGAAAATCCAAGGCACTCAACGTTCTAAGCAGAATACACCAACAGAAAACTCGTTCACTTCGGTTTGAAACTCGATGACTAGCAACAAAAAGCTATTTCCGATGCAAAGTTCCAAGCTCCGACACAAATCCGAACCAATTGATGCAAGATTGACTGATTTCCAAGCAAAAAGTCAGTTTTCGACACAAAATTCCACGAATTCTTGTTGAAGCTAGCAATTCTTCGTCGAAACACTTCCTTCTTCGCAAAACTTCTTTTGACACACCATTGAAGACCACAAATCGATAAACTTCAATAAATCCGGAAAGAAACCTTTGACGAAAACTTTCAGCTGTAAAATATCGATTTTTCGTCGAAAAACTCGAATTTTTGCAGTTTTCCACTCAAAAATCGGCTGAAATCTTCTCAGAATTCTCAGTTGTTCCTCTGAACGCTCACAGAACCCCTTGAAAACCAAGTGAAAATTGTTTTGGCAATCTTCAGCAGAAAATTATCGATTTTTCCTTGAAAAACTCGACTTTCTGCAATTCTTGACTTGAAAATCCTTCGAAACTCGATGATTATTCTTGCACACTATTTCGAATCGCTTCCCACTCTTCTGCTATCCTTCCAACGTTGCTATCAGCAAGGTTTCCGACGAATTCTCGAAAAATATGACACGACCCAGGTAGCACCCAGACTCACTGTCGTTCTCGAAAACAAGTGGTATCGATTTTTAATGATAATTCGGCACGATGCAGCTGGCAACCAGACTGAACGCCCTTTTTCAGTGAAAAACCGACAAAAACGGCGAAGAGACGGATCGGAACGAAAAAAAGAACGGCAAAAATCAAGCGAGAAAATGCAACGGAGCGAGAAGAAACGGCAGCGGTTCGGCCCCCAAGTACGCGAAGTTACTGAGGAGAAACGGGGAAAATTGCCAAAAGAAGATCCCCGGTTCGGCCCCCAAGTAATGTATTTGAAAAACTAAAGAAACACTATTCACTCAAAAACCAATGTAACCAAAGAGACGCAGAGAAAGACTATTAGAAAGTCCTAATCTAGCACTCAAAAACCTAGAAACCCTCACTCAAAAACCAATGTAACCTAAACACTCAAAAACCAATGTAACCTGAAAGTAGAAGACAGCAAAAACACACTGTATTCTATTAAAACAATATTTATTGATTTTACTCAATAAAACTCTTAAAACCTTTGTAACAATGAGCAACACTTTAACGGGTCGTCACCGATCGTGAGCGAACACCAGCGAAAACTAAAGAAAACATGATAATTGCCGAGAGAGAGAGGAGACGCGTTTTGGCGAGCACACAGTTTCGCGCGCAGATACAGTAATCCACACCTCTCGCACGTGTGAGCGGGGGAGATTTCTTTCCTTTAGACTTGGAAAGAGGAATTTAAAAGAGAAAACACGGTAGAATACCGTACTAAAACAATTACAGAATTCGCCCTTCTGATAATTGACCGTATTGTAAATTATTGGAGACACAAAAGAATACCGTTAGGATATTATTAAAAGAATATAAAAAAGAATCTCCGCCCCTTTTTCATATACCTCCAGCGTCATCAAATGACATGGTGAAACAATGAAAATGGAAACATGGTGAAAAACATACTTTTCAATTCATCTGGATTACGGTATGAAAAAAAATATGCACATCCTTAATTTGGTTTCGTACATACGGAAGTTTTCAGAGCTCTCCATCAACAGATCGAACGTAAAATTCAATTTGCGCATAGTTTTCGTATTTATTTTGTCACCTGCTATTTTGTCTAGCTCAACAACACTTTAACCAGATTACAGAACCCATGGAGCGCCATAAGAAAGAAAAATTCAGTTGGAGCAAAAAATATGTCGTCGGTTTCTCCTGATACTGAAATAAAAACAATTCAAGAAGTTTCGCAAGTCGTCAAGTGAGTTGCCTTTTTTTTTTAATTTTTTGAGTTCATTGAGTCTGTAAAAAATTGACCTTTCAGTGGCATCGGTTTTCATCTCCAACAATTGAACCTGTTTCTAAGCTTTTTCTCAATTTTTATCAACATTTTTCATTTGCTTATCCTATCTAGGAAACATATGAAAGCCACTTCCACGAATATAATTTTGATTGGTATATCAATTAGTGATATCCTGATTATGTTGTCTACAGTATACAAAAATTACGGAATGGTGGATCGAGAGAACTCGGATTGTATGACTACTGATTTTCGATTCAAAATTTATATGGATATTTTTGTTTGGGGAATTAACACCTCCTTTCGAAGATGTGGATGCTGGTTGGGGGTTCTTATGGCGACAGTGAGATATTTAATTGTGAAAAAGGTCACTGTAAGCAGGTAAATACAGTAAATAATTTTTTACCATTTCACAGCTTTCCATTTCGCAACCGGACGTTCTGGAACTACTCATTTTCCAAACAACAATTTCTACTGTTTATAGGTACGGTAACTGGTCGCAAGCCAGCGTTGGATGGATTATGATACTTGTTGTTTTTGTAGTCTCCGGACTACAAACTACCTTCTATCAATCTAGATGGATTGTTGTGGAAAATCGATTCGTGCCACTGCCACTTATGTAGTTTTTGGAACTTTTAAACTGAAAAAAATCAATAATTTCAGCTACGCAGACTTTCAGAACATCTACAGTAGTCCACAATTTTCTGTGATGCTCTCTCCATTTTCACATCTGATGAACAGATTGTGATGAAATCATATCTGATGGTAGATGCGATATTGACAAAGGTAAAGAATAGTTGTTGAGTCATGTAAAATGTGTTTTCCTAGATATTTTAACCTTGTTTATAACTGAAATTGAGTGAAAACAACAAGCTCGTGATTTAGTATAAGCAATCAAAAATTTCGTCACTTCCTCTTCAATTCTTGAACTTTCGAGGAGGGAAATATGATTTGCTAGATATATAATTGAATCCTATTTGATGAAATGATATTTTAGAATAGTTATTCTGCGAAAAATTGAAGAAAATCAGAAATAAGATCAGGCAGAAACTTTTGGCTTTATTAAGTTAATCAGGAAACGTTATGATTCACAAATTCAAATTTTTAAAGATCAATTTGGAATCAATTCGAATTTTAAAGTTCGGAAACTTCGAAACTCGTAGATCCAAAAATTTCAGTTCCTTCCAGGTATCGCCTTCTCTGTCCTCACAATTCTTTTGGTCCGATTTCTTCAAAAATTGAAACCTTCTGTAAATAACACTGGAAGAAAAAATCAGGAATCAACTGAAGAAAGAAGGACTTGACTACAAAATTGATCGTTTTTCTATCTTTTACATTCTTTCTAACTGAAGCTCCGCTCGGAGTTATTTATTTGGTGAAAGTGTTTTACAGGAGAAACGATCCAATCAGGTAGGACTTCAAATTTTTATTTGAAAATTATTAATTTACCTAATTAATTTTCAGCATTCTCTCAACAGACTTTGTAATCTATTTCACACTTCTGGTGACAGTTAATTCAATTTTACATCCGATTTTTTGTGTTTTCATGTCCAGTCAGTACAGGAATACAATTCGAACAATGTGTGGAGTCACCAAAAAAGCCAAAACGCCAGTGAAAAATAAGACAAGTGCTGTTTCAGTTCAAGGAATTCAAATGACATGATTTTCTGTGTTTCGGATTTTTTTTCTATTTCTCTACTAAAAAATTAACAAAAAAATAAATAATGATCAATAAAGTACACAAAATACTTTGATTTGAAAAAAAACTTATTAAAATGTTCGTTGATGAAAATGAATGTAAGATTTCAATGATTTCACAAAGTGTCCACTTTGGCTTTTCCTTTTTTTTTGAAGTTTCAAAAAACGAGATACCGCAAAATTCAGAAAACTCGGGAATTCAGAAAATCAATGATTCCAGTCTGATAAGAATTACTTGAAAACAAATTTTTAGTTTAAACGTTCATTTATTACTCGAAATCACATAACGATTTCACAAAGTATCCACGTCGGCTTTTCCGGCGACGACGTTATTTTCAATTCCACATTCATTGACTCCACGACGAATCTTGAAGAATCCGTTTTCTCCCCATTTGGTTCCCCAGGAATTGGCGATGAGCCAGTATGGAATTCCGTTCTGAGTTCCCCATCCGATGATCTTGATGGCGTGTCCTCCGAGAAGCCTTCCTGCAGTGTGTCTGTAGACTCCGCTCTTGTACTTGTACATGTCCTCGTACATGGTGAAAACGCCCACGACTGGCCCATTAGTCATGATTTCGGTTTGGATGGCACTAACAGTCATTCCAACATAGTAGGCTGAGGTTCCTGAAAAAAGTTAGTTTTAGAACTTTTCAAAGTGTTACTGCTTATCAAAGTTCTTGTCTTTTGCGTATTCCGTATTGTATTTGGATTGACAGCTCAAAGCGCATTTCGGGGTCACGGCTTTAGGACATCCTGCAGAGTTGCAGAATTGGTATGGTTTGCAACCATCTCCCTGGTAATCTCCCCCAGTGACAACTCCATTGGAGACCCATCATCTGAGAGCCTGGATGGAATATCCACCGTCACATCCATAACCACAGTATTTCCCACAGCAATCAACCATATCCATTGGGGAAATAATTGGTTGTCTTGCTCCCTTGGTCGCAATGCAAATACGGTCAGAAATAACCTCAGCAGCACCGAAAGCCCAGCATGATCTACAGTTGGCTTGATTACGGATGAGCTTGATGGACTTGCATTTTGGCCATTTGGTACGAGCATCGAAAGTTTCTGGGATGGTGGCAAGAACAGTGTTGACCTCAGTGGCACGGATCTCATCGGAGGGGGGGAGGAGAAGCGTACTTGACATTCATCACACGGGACTTCATGAATTCCTCGGAGACATCGACGTGTTCAGTGATGAAAAGGGATTGGACAGAGTTGACATAATCAACCAAAGCTTTTCCGGTGAGGGTTTCAACGAAGGATTGGTGATCGATTGGAACGAATGCAAGAGTGACTGCAAGCAGTGCGGCAAAGACAAAGGCTTTCTGAAAATGAGCATGTAGCTGTCAAAACATTTTAACAGTGACATAGCTGCTTTAACTATAATATAAAATATACATAATATAAAATATAGAACTCTTAAGACACAATCTCTAAGAAACTCGAAAACACCATGGCAATGGAAAAATTCAAAATGGTCCTGGGAGTCTGATATTGTATGTGGTGGGTATAGGGGCAACTCTAAGACTTTTGACCATAGTACCCATAGGCCACGCCCCTCCTGGCCGCTATATAATACCGTAACCCATGTAACTGTAAATGCTTACCATCATTGTTAGCAGAGTGAAAATATGCCTTTTTTTTAGAACTAACCCTTTTTATACTAAATTCTTCCCTCATATCAATCGTCTGATCTTTCGACTCTCCTCTTGTTATTGGCCATCAAAAAGCTCTGTTTTGTTGGTAATTTTTCGATTGTAGCTGTTTTAGAAAAGCACCGAACCCGGAGTTTGTCTGTAATAACGAAAACAACAGGGCATTTGTACTTTCTAGACTTTCTTCATTTCAAAACGAAAAACGATGAGCTGAGTAGAGGTTATGATATTTATAATAAGAGCCATACAAGATTACTGTGTTTTTGCATTATCTGGTAGACTGATAAACAATAAAGAGCATAACAAATTGGCTTTGAATAACATGTGAAAGATTGATAAGGAATAATGGTATAAAAAAGGATAGTCCAGGGAAAAAATATATCTTCCCTCAACAATGATGGTGAGTATTAACAATACAACGATGTTTATATATTTATTTTCATAAGGTTCTCGTTCTTCCCGTACTGCTTGCAGTAACTCATGCATTCGTTCCAATCGATCTGAATTCCCAAACTCTTACCGGAAAGGCTCTTGTCGACTATGTCAACTCTGTCCAATCCCTGTTCACCGTTGAACACATAGATGTTTCCAAGCAATTCATGAAGTCCCGTGTGATGGATGTTAAATACGCTGATCCTCACCCCGGTGATATCCCTTCTGCCAAGCTCAACATTGTTCTTGCCAAGAAGATCCCGGATACTTTCGATGCTCGTCAATAATGGAAAAACTGCACATCCATCAAAATGATCCGTAATCAAACCAACTGTGGATCGTGCTGGGCTTTTGGTGCCGCTGAGGTCATCTCCGACCGCATTTGCATTGTGACAAAGGGAGCCCGACAACCAATTATTTCCCCAACGGATATGCTTGATTGCTGTGGGGAATACTGTGGTTATGGATGTGACGGTGGATATTCCATCCAGACTCTCAGATGATGGGTCTCCAATGGAGTTGTCACTGGGGGAGATTACCAGGGAGATGGTTGCTAACCATACCAATTCTGCAACTCTGCAGGATGTCCTAAAGCCGTGACCCCGAAATGCGCTTTGAGCTGTCAATCCAAATACAATACGGAATACGCAAAAGACAAGAACTTTGGTGAGGTTGCACTTTCCAAGTGCAAGTGATTTTAAAACGAGCTATCATTCTTTTTAGGATCCTCCGCCTACTATGTTGGCCGGAACTTTTCTGTTATCCAAACCGAAATCATGACTAATGGACCAGTTGAAGCTTCTTTCACAGTCTATGAAGACTTCTACATTTATAAGAAAGGAGTATACCAGTACACGGCCGGAGAGGTTCTTGGAGGACACGCCATCAAGATTATCGGATGGGGAACGGAGAATGGAACTGATTACTGACTCATCGCCAATTCCTGGGGAACCAAATGGGGAGAAAACGGATTCTTCAAGATTCGTCGTGGCGTCAATGAATGTGGAATTGAAAATAACGTCGTCGCCGGAAAAGCCGACGTGGATACTTTGTGAAATCGTTATGTGATTTCGAGTAATAAATGAACGTTTAAACTAAAAATTTGTTTTCAAGTAATTCTTATCAGACTGGAATCATTGATTTTCTGAATTCCCGAGTTTTCTGAATTTTGCGGTATCTCGTTTTTTGAAACTTCAAAAAAAGGATCGGAAAAATTAATTGAAACAGAGAACATCCATATCAGAGTTATTCTTACAGTGTAACCAAAATAGCAATCATGTCATTTGAATACCTATTGTATATTGAAATACTAATTTTTATTAGAAAACCTTCTGGAATCATATCAAAATTTTTATATTCGAATGTTAAAAGAAGCTTTTTAATTCTGTAACCAAAAATAAATATTAAAATTCATCTCTTCTAGAAATTCCCGTTGCTCTGCATCCCGCCTTTTTTCCTTCACATATCACCTGATGAATTATGAAGGAATCTTAATGTGAAAAAAGGGGCGGAGTATCCTAGGGGCATATCTTGGTGATTTTCTTTGTGCCAATTAGGTCGATAATCAGATGTATGAAATATCATTTACGATTGCTAGCTGAAAAATGAAATTAAAACTTTTTTGTGAACATCCGGTTAACTTAGAAGCTGTTGGAGTTTTTTAAAATAAATTTTGGTCAGAAGAGAAAATATAGGGAGATTGTTGAAAACGACGACAAAACACACATTAATTTCTACTGATTCTTATCATTTAACTCTTAAACTCTACTCTCCCTCACAGCTCAAAAATTGTTTTTCGTTTTCAAATTGAGATTTTGCAGAAAGTACACTTTCCCTGTTGGTCAAATTTTGTAGAAATTAAATTGTGAAATTCCGGTTAAGATGCTTTCCTGAAACAGTTAGAAATCGACGATCAGAATTTAGTAGGAAGAGCAGAATAACAAGAAGAGAGTCGAAAGATCGAACCGGAAAAAGATTTGGTATAAAAAGGGGCAGTTCGGGAAAGAAGGCATCATCTCGATCAACTAACAACAATGATGGTAAGTAGCAGTGTGTCCTTTCGACACGACTTCGAGAAATTTTTCGAGGAATTCCTCGAGGAATTTTTCGAGAAATTTTTCGAAAAATTTTCGAAAAATTTTTTGAGACGATTTCATTTTGAACACTAGCTAGCTCGGCAGCTAGGCGTATTATACGTAAAATTATGAGAGGAATCTGGTATCGGTTGCCGAGCAAGAAAACTAACACAGAAAAAGTTATTTTTTGGAGCAGAAAAAACCATACTTGCTAAATCCCGGCCCAGCCCGGGTAGACCCTGGCTGCGGCACGGGCCCGGGCTGGAGAAAAATTTTCCGCCTATTTTATGTGCTAAAGTGGCTTTGATTGTGTTAAGCTTGAAGAGAGCGTTCGAATGGTGGTAAGATGAACTTTCTAGCATAAAAATGAACCAAGTTATGATGAATGGAAGTTTTAGTGGCTCGGGACGTCTTCAGGATTCTGGGCCAGTACGTATTCTGAAGATCAGAAGGCTATCTCTCTTCTGAAATTTTTTTCAAGGAATTTCTCGAAAAACATTTTTCGAAAAAAACTTTTCGAGGAATTCCTCGAGGAATTTTTTTCGAAAAATTTTTTTCGAAATTTTTTTTTCGAGAAATTTTTGTCGAAAATTTCTCGAAAAAGGCATTTCTCGAGAAATTTATTCTCGAAAAGACACACTGGTAAGTAGTAAGAATTCTCAAGAATCTACTTTCAGTTTTTTCAGAAGATGTTTGTCTTTGCCGCACTGGTGGCAGTCACTTTTGCTGTCGTCCCAATCGATCTGAAATCCGAAACCCTCACCGGAAAAGATCTTGTCGATTATGTCAACTCTGCCCAATCCGATTTCATCACTGAGCATGTCGATGTTTCCGAGGAATTCATGAAGTCCCGTGGGATGAATGTCAAATACGCAGCTCCTCACTCCGATGAGATCCGTTCTACCGAGGTCAACAATGTCCTTCCTTTTATCCCACCCTCCTTCGATTCCCGTACCCGATGGTCCAACTGCACATCTATCGAAATGATCCGTGATCAAGCCCAATGTGGATCCTGCTGGGCTTTTTCAACTGCTGAGGTCATCTCCGACCGCATTTGCATTGCTACCAAGGGAACCCAACAACCGACCATTTCCCCAACCGATATGCTTGCCTGCTGTGGAAATTCCTGTGGTGACGGATGTAAGGGAGGATACCCAATTCAAGCTTTCCGATGGTGGAACTCCAGAGGAGTGGTTACTGGAGGAGACTTCCGAGGATCTGGATGCAGACCATACCCATTTGCCCCATGCATTTCCTGTCCTGAAGAAAAGACCCCAACGTGCTCCTTGAGCTGTCAATTCGGATACTCAACAGCCTACGCTAAGGACAAGCGCTTTGGTTAGTTGTAACATTTTGAGAAACTCTAAAGGTATTGTAAATTTAAGGAGTATCCGCATACGCTGTTGCCAGAAACGTTGCTGCCATCCAAACCGAAATCATGACTAATGGGCCAGTCGTGGGCGCTTTCACCATGTACGAGGACATGTACAAGTACAAGAGCGGAGTCTACAGACACACTGCAGGAAGGCTTCTCGGAGGACACGCCATCAAGATCATCGGATGGGGAACTCAGAACGGAATTCCATACTGGCTCATTGCCAACTCTTGGGGAGCTAACTGGGGAGAGAACGGATTCCTCAAGATGCGTCGCGGAGTCAACGAATGTGGAATTGAGAGAGCTGTCGTCGCCGGAATGCCCAGAGTTTAACTTTTTGAAATCATTTTTGTCCACTAATTAGCAATAATTCGTAATAAAAATTCAATCATTCCATGTCTGAATTAGTAAAATGAAATTTTTGAGCATTGAAGTTGGAAGACTGAAATTTTTTCCAGTTGGAAGACTGAAATTCCGAAAAAACTGATTTTTCATGAACCGCTGAATCAAACCTTCGCTTCCAATCCAGTATTTTACTAAACTCCTGCCTGAAATTTTCAACGAAACAAGATGTTCTCTCTTCTGGCTCTTATCATGAAATTCATAAACTTCACTCTTCTAGCAGCTCACCACGTGTTTTCGTTTCGAATTGGAGATTCTGCAAAAAGTACAAATGTCCGGGAGTTGAACTTGTAAAAAATGAACTGTAACTTCAGGCGAATTCCGAAACTGATAAGCGTAAAACAAGAGGAAGAGCAGAACAACATAAAAACAGTCCAATGGCTAAAAAACTGCTGGTCACCTATGATCCCTGTGAGTTAACTAGTTAGAAATATCTCAATCGGACCCAATTTTTTATCTTAATTGTTTTGTTATTCCACTTTCTTCTTATGACACCACCATACCAATTTGACTGGGTAGATCCAAAATTATAGGTTTTTTTTTTTGAAAATTCTGATGTCTGAAAAGTTTTTTTCCCAATTTTGATTATTTTCCTATTGAAAATGGAAAAAAGCAGTTATGAAGAGTCAATTGAAAATGTGCAAATTGTTTTGATGTAAGTTCAGAAAATTGAGAGAACTTTAGGAATTTTGTAACAATTAGAGAGCAAACTCTGGAATTCTTGAAATTCCAGCGCTTGCAAAGAATTAGGGTTTTCCAGTTGGAAGACTGAAATTCCGAAATTTCAGAAACTTAAAAATTAGGAAACTCATCAACTTTCAAAATTTGTGATCATAACTTTTTCTTTCCAGGCGTCTCGAAAACAAAACATTCCTCATTCATTTCGTCCTCAACCTTTTATCAATCGTTATCAACTTCTTCCATCTTATCGTTCTCACCCAAAAAACTATGCGAACATCTTCTATAAATATCCTAATTAGCGGAATCGCAATTTGTGATCTTTTTACAATGTTCACATGGGTTTATAAATATTTGAGTTTGGCAGATTTGGAATACCCCGAGTGGTAGTTTTTGGAAAACTTTTAAAAATATTAAAGGTATTTTTTCAGCATCACAGCAACTTCTTTGATTAAAATTTACATGGACGTCACTTCCTGGTCTTCTCAGTACCACTTCAGACGGACTACGTGTTGGCTGGGAATTGTAATGGCGAGTATCCGTTATGTAATTATGAGCAGAATCTCTGACGTGAGGTAAATTTTCGAAAAAATCGTCTAAAAATTCTTCAAATACAATTTTCAGACATTTTAAATGGGCGGATCCAAAAATGGGATATATTCTAATAGTAATCGTATTTGGATCTAGTGGAGTTCTAACGGTGATATGGCAATGGGAATGTCAGGTTGTCGAAAATCGTAACTATTCGCTTGTGGCAAAGTATGACAAATTTTTGAAATTAATTTTTGAAAGGAAAATTACTTTCCAGCTGTGCCGAGCATCAAGAAATAAACGGTAACTACAAGTTTTCTGTAACTTTGAGACCATTTGCAAATCTTGGGCATTATGTGATAGTAAGGACATATTTTATATTGGATGCTACACTGTCAAATGTGAGTGTCGATTTACTTTTTTTCAAGTTTCATAAGTTGAAAATTTTCTTGAATTTCATAATTTATACTTTTCTAACTTCATTCAGTTTACCGCAAATACTATAGAGCGCCACACAAGTCGTTCACTTTAAGCTCATATAATTCATTTCCTATAAAAGATATCAAAAAGTGGCCAATTGGCAAAATTTTTATCGTAATTTCATAAAATGTTGCCAATTTACCGCTTTTTGATATCTCTCACCGGATGAGTTGACTCAAGTTGGGAGTTAGGATGGCGTTCTATTAGAGTGTTTACGGTGCATTTAAAATTTACAGTTCATCCCATGCATCGCATTTCCAACTCGACTTTTCTTCTTTTTCGTCAAATTCAAAAAATTAATGAGACTCGAGAAACCATTCGAAGAAATAGTACAACAACTGAAGACAATGAAGAAAAGTATGTGCTCAGTGTAAAATTGATCGTTTTCATAACAATCAATTTTTTCATTGCCGAAGCTCCGATCGGAACAATTGCAATTCTGAAAACTTTTCTGGAAAGAACTGATAAGTTATTGTAAGTTTCCAATTTAAAAAAATTCTTGTTTTTTTGTCTGGTACTGTATTATTCTGATTCAAAAAACAGGAGCTGTGTAAGCAACGCTGGTGGCCGTGACCGAAGATTCCACAGCGACATTTACTGTAACCTAAGAATATATTTCTGGGAGCATTTTTTTCTTGCTTTTTACTGTTTTAGGTTACGATAGTTGTCGTTGTGGGAATTTCGGCCAACGCCACCTGTGTTTCTCTTTCACAGCTCCCATGTTTGTAACAGAAAATATAAGTTTCTTCAAAAAGAATTTCAGTCGATTTTCCTCGGACCTCAATGTTTATTTTGTTATTGTGGCAACGTTGAATTCAATATTACACCCGATATCTTGTATTTTTATGTCTAGCCAGTATCGGGAGACATTGAAATCAGTTCTTGGAGGAAAAAGAAAAAGTATAATTTCTGTGCAACCCAGATTGAGCAGTTTTGTGTCTACTCCGGCAATGTGTGTACCATGATCATACTTGATGATATTATCCGAGAATAATGTTCTTTTTCCAATTCCTTCTTATAGTCTTTGTTTTTCATGTAATTCAAAAGAATAAATAAATACTTTCTATTAAATTGGTATGTAATTTTTTGTCTAGTACGCCCACCGTCACACTTGGAAAAACAGAAAATTTTCAGTGAGAAAAACAAATTACAGAATCTAAACTCAATTTTTTTCGGTAATTTTTTAGTGAGTAACAAAACAATTGTTGTGCTCATTTTTCTTTTTCTCTATTTGGAAGTAAAAATATATGGATTCTGGAATTCATGGCTTTCAGAACTTTTTGAAGTAGGTGTTTCGAAATAGTCGCGAAATGATTAGTTCTAGAAAAATGAAAAATTGATTAGATGATTTGGGACATTTCGCAACTAGTTGGTCTAGAGCGACACGTTCTAGAACCGTTGCGAAATGACCAGTTCTAGAACGCCCGGTTTTGAAATGTACAATCGATTACCGTATTTTCAGCCACATTGCTCATCATCTACACCGGGCAAACTTCATATGCAGTTTCATTTCTGTAATCATCAATATTTTTCATTTTATAATTCTATCAAGAAAATCAATGAGAACCAGCTCCACCAATGTGAAAATGATTGGAATTGCAATTTCCGATATTTCCACAATGCTCAGCACAATTTATAAACATTATTTTCTAGTGGATGTTGAGAGCCCAGAGTGGTATATTTTGAGAATATGTGAAAAACTTCAACAAATTTCATAGTTTCAGTGTCACCGCTTCTGTACGGTACAAGATATACTTGGATCTTTCGGCGTGGACATTTCAGGATCATTTCCGACGGTGTAGCTCTTGGTTAGGTGTTCTAATGGCAATTGTTAGACTTTTCGTTATGAAAACGATGCCAAATTCTAGGTTTCATTTATTTTTCAATTATAAGACTTTGAACCTCTGTTTCTAGGTACGGTAACTGGTCAAAACCAAAAACTGGATGTTTTTTCACATTATTGGTTTTTTGTGTCAGCGCAATGTTATCAATATTTTTTGTCTCTAGAAATCAGATTGTGGAAAATAGAGCCTTCCCATTGCCCTTAAAGTGAGGTTTTAGATTGAAATGTTTTGCCAAATTCAATTTCCAGCTGTGCCGAATACCAGGACATCAACTCAAGACCTCTATTTTCTGTAATTTTAACTCCATTATTTTCATCTTCAAATTTCCTTGTTCTACGTATTTTTACCATGTTCGATGCCATTGTGACCAAGGTACTGTAGGTGTCACATTCCTTATTTCGGTGGAAAATAGTCGTTCTTGTAGTCGTGAAAAAAATTCGAAAATTCAATTTCCAGCACTTTTTTGACATGAGGTTTCAAGACAAATTGAAACATTCTGGAAATTCTTTAAACAAAAAAAGTTTATTTAACAAATTTTTCAGTTCATCCCTTGCATTGCATTTCCTTGTCTTACTGTATTTCTGATTCGAGAATTACGAAAATTCCATAATCGAGTTGTTATGAATGGAAGAAAACAAAGTGCCGTTATTGGGGAGAAAAATGATATTACAACGAAATTGATTGTTTTCATGACGTTTGCATTTTTTATCGCTGAAGCTCCATTGGGAACTATTTATTTAGTAAAAGTGTTTTCCGATAGAGATGATGAGATTTTGTAGGTTTTATCATTGGTTTTCTGAATCGATTTTTTTTTCAGCTTATTTTCCGTTGACATTATTATCTATTTTGTAACATTGAACACATTAAACTCAATTTCACATTCAATTTTTTGTATAATTATGTCCAGTCAGTATCGAAACACAGTTCGCGAAATTATGGGAATTCAAAGGAGTGCGAAATTATCAACTGCAAGAAATAAAACCAGTGTAGCTTCTGTACATGGTGTTAAAATGAATTGAATAAAGAATTTCAGACATATTTGAAAGACAGAAAAAAACGAAAAGAAACTCAAAGATTTCAACATCATAAAAATGCAAATATCAGATAGTTCTATGTTCAAACCCCCCAAGAACTTTTAAAAAACCTTTAATTTTTATGTCATAAAAACTAGTAAAAAGTTATGTTTGGTTTTTAAAGGTGGAGAGACAGGAGATTTTACGGGGGATTTTTGAAGCCAGAGTATGCATTCTACCGTAACGGTGTACAACGCTTAATGTCACTCTGCGTACAGCTGTCGTCCTCGCCTTTATGTATGCAATCAGGCGGCAACTTTCTCTTTGCCCGCGTAGCTCAGTCGGTAGCGGCGCCGTACCCTCAATCATCGCCCCCACAAGTTCAACTCCTCGAAGGGCATATTTAAAAGGAATTTCGAGAACATTATTTTTTCATGTCTCCCCATCTTTAATGTCACTCTGCGTACAGCTGTCGTTCTCGCGTTTCGGGCGGCCTAATGAGCCGCGTAGCTCAGTCGGTTGCGGCGCCGCACCCTCAATCCTCGCCTCCACAAGTTCCCCCTGCCTTTGAGGAAAAACTCGAATTTTCTTGAACATCTCGAAGTGCCAGTCAGATAAATTTTTTTCAATTTATTCGTGCTACGTAACACAAAAAGTCATATGATTTTTTTTGAATACCAAAACAGAACAGGTGAAAAAGTTAGTTTCACTGGTCGTGCCGTTTGACTCAGAGGTTTCACCAATTTTGGAATTACAAGTTGGTGTATTTTGTTTCCAAAAAATACTGCTGAAAATGAATCTCACCTTATATTCCAATACAACACTTCTGGAACCACCGAGAACTTTGAAAGAACGTTTTTTTCTTTTAATTTTCGTCATGTTCTCAACTTTTCAATTTTTGGCAGGCTTTGTGACAAGCGGGTAATTAGTAATTTTTAGTTTTAATTTTACAAATTTATTCCAGAAACTTATCTGGAAAACGTTTCCTCATTTCTGTCTTCTTATGACTTTTATCCCTATCACTCATATGGCATTCTTGATTGTCAATACTTTTCGAAATCTTCTTTTTACTAGTAAACTGGGTGTAGACGAAATTCTATGGAGGCTTTTACCAGTTATTATAACCTGTTATCCGATTTTATTTTTTCCACCCGTCCCATTTTGCATAACAATGGTTTATTCCATTTTTCTGAATATTAAGATGGCGCCAGGAAAACATTTATTTGGGCAAAGAGCCACAAAGTAAGATTTTCGAAATTTTGAATTTCTGAGTTTCTGAAAATCTGAAATTCCGAATTCTTCTGAGTTCATATGTTTTTTCAGGAACAAAATCCTGATTGTCATAATTGCAATTTTTTCGGGAATCTATTATATTCGAAATAACAGAGGCGAACGGTGCCTCGTAATTTCTATCAATTTCGATGACCACCCTTCCTTGGTAAGTTTTTTTTCCCTCAATTTTTTTAAAACAAAAATGACTTTTCCAGCAACTAGACATGCTAAAATACCTACCGGTTCTCATAACAACTTTGTATTATTCGAGGCGCTTATACTTTTTCAAATCCGCCAAACGGCCCATCAAAGTTTATACCACGGAATACATCAGAATGATTTATATTGCATTGTTTCTTTTGGTTTTTTATGTGAGTGTGAAAAAGTCAAAAAATATTCTTACGTCTGATACTGTATGTGTAAAAAATGAGATATTTTCAGGTTTTAACACTTCCACAAATCCTTATATCTTTTCTCACTCACCATACAAATTTTTATTCATATCCAACTCGTTTGTTGGGATTCCAAGAATCGTGAATTTTGAGTTATATGTTCATTTACGCAGTTCCTCTGGCAAAATCCCAACGAGTCATAAAATGGTTTAATAGGATAAATATTCATCCAAATGGTTTTTGAGTAGAAATGATTTTTTCGTGTTCCTTCTTTTTCCTTTGAGCATTGTTTTTATCAACCTAATTTGTCATCATTGTTGAACTTTACAAAAAATCAAAAACTTGTTTCTTTGTACCCAATCTTCCCATTTTGCCTGACGATTTGTCATCATTTTTCTTTATCATTCCGCATACTGTATAAAAGTATTGCTTCGATCATCACACAATCCAAAAATGATTATTGTTTTACTATTATCGTTATTCATCTTCACGGACTCTTTTAGAATCCTGGTATATTCCCCAGCGTTTGCCGGTAGCCACACAAATTTTATGGCTAGAATTGCAGACACTTTAACGGAATCTGGACATAATGTAACATTTTTGTGCCGATTTTCGATGAGGCTAGAAGTGATCAATTGGGAGTGAAGCTTACGAAAAATGTCATTGTCATGGAGGTATTAATATTGAAGTATATATTTTCCAGAAGTTTGAGATACAGAAAAGATCACCAGTTCAAACTTTGCTGATTGTACTATTTGCACCATTTCCTTAGTCGATCTCTTTTTGATAATTTTCCCAGGAAACAAGATAAACTGGCTTAACATTAACATTAGGTCCCTATGATTCGAAATTTCCCCCTATGATTCGAAATTTCAGAAAAGCGAGGAGATGAAACTGGACCCTATCACGGTTGACAACATAACTGCAACTTACTGGCATATCACTGTGAATTCCAAAGGGGGTCATTCACTTTTCGAACCAGTTCACAAGCTAACTGTACAAAGTTGTCGAAGCCTGTTCAGTAATTCTGAACTCCTAGAGACTTTGAGAGCCCATGAATACGATGTTGGAATAGCCGAACCATTAATGACTTGTAGTTTGGTACTTTTTAGACATCTGAAAATAGAAAAAGTGATCCTGGCTAGTTCCTGTCCAAATTATGATTCTGTAATGGCAGCGATGGGTGAGCCAGCTGATACAAGTTACGTGCCTTGTAAGTTTTTCTTCTTGAATGTTCAGTTTCTGATTTTTTCAACTTTCAGCAATATTCTCAGAAGTTTCTGGAGACCGGATGGATTTTGCGGATCGTCTTGAAAACTACGACATGTATAGTTTTATGATTGAACGATACAGTCAAATGTATGATGATGAAGCAAAGGTGTACAGAAGGTTTTTAGGAGAAGACTTCCCAGATTGGAGAGAGTTGATACCTGATGCATCTGTACACTTTACCAATTCCATTCCCTACTTAGACTTTCCAAGACCATCAATTCGAAAAACTATTGACATCGGAGGAATTTCAGTGGATCTTGAAAAAATTCAATCGGAAACGTTGAATGGAGATTTTGACAGGATACTGGACTTGCGAGAGAAAACAATGTTCATTTCATTTGGGACCCTGGCAAAGTCCAGTGAAATGCCCAAAAATTACAAGGAAAATCTGCTGGAAGTTTTCAAATCCGAGCCAAATACAACATTCATATGGAAATACGAGCATGATGATGTCAGATTTGCGGAGAGCTTGGAAAATTTGGAATTAGTAAAATGGGCTCCACAAACAGCACTTTTGAGTGGGTTTATTAATTTCTTGGATTCTGAAATTGTGGAAAATTGCAGATGACAAACGATTAAGTGCATTTTTGAGTCATGGAGGATTGGGAAGTACGATTGAAACGGTCTTTTTCGGAAAACCAACCATTATGGTAATTTAAGAAGAATCAGGAACTTAAAAACTGATAAAAAATCGAAATATTATATCAGAAAAATCTGAAAATATAAAAATTGATATCCAATCAAAAATTTGATCCTTAAACTTATTTTTTCAGGTTTCAGTATTCTTTGATCAATCTCGCAATGCAAATATGTTGAGTCGCCTAGGAACTTCAATAACTCTTCAAAAACCGATTTGGGAAATTTCGATAAATTAAAATCATGTTTTCATCAAATTTTGCACAATGACAGTTTTCGAAAAAATGCTGAACATGTGGCAGATGTTATACGAAATCAGCCAATCAAGCCAAAAGAGTTGGTAGTCAAGTATACGGAATTTGTTGGGAAGTGAGTTTAAAACTTTTGAATTAAAAATATTTATAATGATTTTCAGCTACGGACCATTCCATCATATGACTCCATACAGCTTAAAAATGCCCTGGATTCAACGATATGGATATGATGTGTTGCTTTTCAAGATCGGAGCAATTCTAGCTCCCGTAGTATTATTGGCGGCTGCTTTCAAACTTTTCCTAAGACGATTTTTTGTTTCAGTTGTCAAAAAGAATAAATAACGAAATGAATTGAACTTTTCTTGATAAAATATGTGAACAAAAACTACCAATATAAAATTGGTCTCATCAAATATAATTTCTTTTTCTTCTTCTTACACTAATTTCCACATTCAAAGATCAACATTTACCTACAAACTAACGTCGTCTATCAAATCAAAGTATTCTCTCAATGTGAATTAGAATGTTGTGTTTTCTGTCTTGCGTTATCATTTTGATCCTTTGATCTTTCTCTACTATCAAGTACTTTTGTATAATAGGGATTGAAAATTCCTGAAATTACCTAGCAAATGGACTCCTAAAAAAATATATGATTAACACATAACTATGAGTATAACGCAAAATATTTCAAGTTCCAGGACTTCCTGGAAGCGGAAATTCGTTTTTGAAAATCGCTGTTTTTGCACTGAAAATGCGATATTTGGTACTGAAACTGATGAAACTGGCCAGCGGATTCTAAAATTTTCAGTGGTGTTTAGATAGGTTACCACTGAGCAATCCTAAACATTTCATCAAAATCTGAGGTGATGAGGTGTCATGGTTCCCTTGTAACAATATTTTCTCCCTTTCGCTTTCACGGACTCTTTTAAAATACTAGTATATTCTACAGAGAAAATTTGGTCCAGTGGGGGCTGACAAACATCACCTTGGTAATTTGACATACTATAATGACAATTTGAGAAAAGATCTGAAAATATAAAAACTAATATCCAATTGAATATGGGACCTTAAATTAATTTATTGACTTCCCAGATTGGAGAGAGTTGATACCTGATGCATCTGTACATTTTACTAATCCAATTTCCTACTTGGATTTTCCAAGACCATCGATTCAAAAATCTATCGGTCACCTATGATCCCTGTGAGTTATCTAGTTAGAAATATCTCAATCTTAAGTTTTTTGAATTATGTGAAATTACAGATGACAAGCGAATGAGTGCATTTTTGAGTCATGGAGGGTTGGGAAGTACGATTGAAACGGTCTTTTTCGGAAAACCAACCATTATGGTAATTTAAGAAGAATCAGGAACTTAAAAACTGATAAAAAATCGAAATATTTTTAAGATCCCAATATTCTTTGATCAATTTCGCAATTCCCACATGTTGAGTCGCCTAGGAACGTCAGTAACTCTCCTGAAAACTGATTTGGGAAATTTGGACAAATTGAAATCAGCATTTCACAAAATTTTGCACAATGACAGTTTTCGAAAAAATGCTGAACATGTGGCAGATGTGGTACGGAACCAGCCAATCAAGCCAAAAGAGTTGGTAGTCAAGTATACTGAGTTTGTTGGAAAGTGAGTTTCAAATAATTGAATAAAAATAGAAATCTGAAATAATTTTCAGACACGGACCATTTCACCAGATGACCCCATACAGCTTGAAAATGCCCTGGTTTCAACGACATGGATATGATGTTTTATTGTACAAATCAACGTTTTATCTTCTGCCATCTTTCTTATTTCTTGCGTCATTCAGGAAATTTGTTTTTTCTAGAAATGAAATTCCAGCCAGCCGATAAACTGATTACAAATAAAACATTTAGATGTAGCTTACGAATGTTTTTAAAGTTAAATTTAGAAAGAAAAATCAGGAGCCAGAAGGCGTCAAAATGCAGATGAAAAAGTTGTTTCTTGTTTTTTTTTCATTTTAGCTAGCTAAATTGTCCAAAAATGGAAACCGATATATTCCGATTCCCCAAAGTCAATGAATCTCTTCGTGTACAAAGTTCAACAATGCCAATTAATGAATCTATAGATTTTATGTGCTTTTACACACTATTTAGTGTAATCTTGTTCCTAGATTTAGTAATTAGGAAGAAAAACATTATCACCAATTTTTTCCCTCATTTCTATCAATTATCTCTGATTACTTAACTAGATTGATAAGCCAGATAATTAGGATAAATATAAATCCTGATTTGGCATTTGAAAGTTTTTCGAACTTCGGATTCATTGGATTCTGAATAACTAGCGTTCGAATCAAAGCAATACTGAAACTGAGCCACGTGGAAGATCTTCGAGAAAATTCTCGAAGTAATTTTAGCAAAATATCCAGTAAAACGGAAAAATAAGAAGTTCCAGACAAACAAGAAACTTCCAAGTTCTCATAATAGTTTTTAATCTTCTGCTCAATTATATAAAATTGGGAATACAAGTCCGATAATGCTAGAAATAACAAAATAATATTTATGGAAGATGATCTCATAGGTTTTCGGGTTAAGACTAGAATATGAAACGAATTTATTAAAATACATCCAGCAGCGATACGAATTTCGAATTCTAGAAGAAAATTCACAAAATCACGGAGCAAAGTGTAAAAGGAGCATACGAATAAAGATTCTGATTTGAATTCGCAAACAGACATTTTTTCGAGTTTTTTTTTGGATTTAGTTCAAGTTCAAAAACTTTTCGTTAAATAGATTTTTGTAACAGAAAAGCCTCTCAGTCCGCAAATCGTGTTATAATGACTCAATTTATAGTAGACGCTGAAATTGGTTTGTTTTTCAGTATAGGCAAATTGAATATTAGTAATAGGGAAATAAATTATAGTTATGTATTTTGGAACAAAAATATGTATTAATTTTTTTGGTATTAAAAAAATATTAAATTTATATTAATCAAAGTTGAACTTCTTATTTAATTTTCTCTTTTTTGTATGTTCAAACAAATTTAATTGCACGGTATAAAAGAGAATATAGATAATATTAAACTACAGTTCAAAAGCTTTTTGCCGAATTCGATCAGGTATGCCAATTGTATCGCTTCAATTACAAAATTGACGCCTTAACCTTGTTTAGTTTGTTTCAAATTTATAGACAAGCAAAAAATGCTAGACTTGTAAATTTACACCGTTTTTGATGAACAGAAATGTCACTGTATCAACCAACAGACAACCATTTATTAGAATCAAAGAAAAGTATCACGGAAGAAAAACCAATTTCCGTAGTCTATATGTTATGCGTATCATCAAAAAATAATCACAAAACATTTCAACCATCTTTTATATTCATGCCTTTCAATAACTCAACTTCATATATACACTACGCTGAAAAAGCTAAGAATATTTCCGAATTCGGGTTTTTCTTTACCTCGATTTTTTGTGCCGTTTTGATCTATTTAACAAACTTCGAAGTGACTAGGGATTTCGGAAGTTATAAACATCTCTTTTTAATGTTTCCAGTATTTGGAATTATTTTCGCCACTCTCGAAATGATTTTGTACCCGGTATGGTTTTGTTGAGCTTCAAACTCAATTCCGTTTTTACTGAAAAGCGCTGAAAAGTCCCATTTTTTGTCAGATAATCCAAACTTACTATTTTCCAAAACACAGGTTACTTTTAGAATGCCTTTTCTCACAATTCTGGTTATATTTTCTACTCCACAAGCCGCCCGTTTCAGTTGAGCCAAAACGCGACTAGTTGGCTGCTCGTTTCCTACTCGGGCATCTATTCATCCACAATTTCAAACTTGGCCGTTCAATTTTTGTACAGATATTGGGCGATTTTTGAGTAAGCGGTTTGATAAAACTGAAATGTTAAACTTGTTCAAATTAAATTTTTTCAGTGAAAAAAAGATTTGGATTTTTAAAGGATGGAGATTACTCATCTGTATGTTATATTCTATTTTATTTGGCTTTCAATGGGGACTTGGAACTTATTATTTCGACCAAATTGATGATTACTCGAAAAACTATTTCGAATTGGAAATGATGCAAAAGTTCAGTGCGGATTTTTCCAACATTTCTGGCTTAATTCTAGTGGCTTATGATTCCAATAGATCCATCAGATGGCGAAATGTTTGCTGTACCATTAATATGACATTCATCATGTTATTCCAATACAGTATAATCATGTACTGCGCTATTCGTATGTACTTTGAGATGGAATCAAAAGTGCAAATCTTGTCTCCTGCGCTTAGGAACTTGCATAGGCAGTTCTTTAAGACTCTTGTTTTGCAAGTGGTCACTCCAACGGTAACCTTGTTTGCGCCAGTAACTGTATTGATCTATCTACCACTTTTTGATCTACAACTTGATCTACCATTTGGAATATTTCTATCAACTTTATCGATTTTTCCTGGTACGGATGCAATTATTGTGATGTATGTAGTACAGGACTACAGGTTGGCCATGAAAAGTGGGTGACAAAATCTACGACGAATTTTTTATAATTAACTTTTTTAGATATGGGCCAAAAATTTACTGGAAGTATAATTACTTGGGCGAATAGTCCAAGTGCCACAGTAGTACCAGTAGCAAATTGAATTTTTTTTTCGTGAAAAGTAAATTATGTCATCTTGTCAATAAATAATTTGAATATTTTTCAGAACATTTTTTGTAAGATTAAAGTATAGATTTTGCTTTGAAAATAACGATTTGAGTCTTCCTCAAATGTTGTCTAGAATTTCTCTAAAAAATCTTTTTATCATCGTCTGTTTGTGTATTTGTATGTCCTGATAAAATGTTACTGATAATGTGATAAGCATTTTATCAGTTGACCACCTTTTGATATCATTCACAGTAACCGAGATAATTGAGCTTAAAGTTGACGGTTCGGACCTAGTTCTAAACGAATACAAATCTCCAAAATTCAAATTTCGCGCTCAAAAGTGACAGCCAGACAGTACAGGCGGTACTGTTTTAGTACGGTGTGTGTGTGATGTGACAATACGGCAGATGTTTTATGGTTACGATTCACAGAGAGATTGCTCATCCTTAACCCATCTGCCGAGGGGATGTGTGACGTCACAAGGTCACGGTACTCTCAAATGGTACCGCCCGTATTGCCTGTATGTATGTCACTATTTGAGAGCGGGAAATTTGAATTTTTAGATTGTGGGGGGCGAGATCTACACCGAATTCGGAAATTTTCCAGTTTTCGGAGGGTATTTCAATTATTCTAGATACCGGAATCTATTTGAATGACAACACTCCATCCTGTCAACTTTGAGCCGATATATCTCGGTTACTGTAAGAGATATCAAAAAGTGATAAACTGATAAAACATTGCTGATATTATGCTTAACATTTTATCAGTTGACAACTTTTTGATATCTTTTACAGAAACCGAGATATGTGGGCTCAAAGTTGACAGGATGAAGTGTTGTCATTCAAATAGATTCCGGTATCTGAATTCCACCACATTGGAGCTTCAG